GATATGAGTTACCGACTCGCAGGGCAGAGAAGCTGCAACCTTCATCCTCCACAGTCATACAGAAGCTTACCTCCACCCACGATGTTCTCACCACTCAGCCAAAACCCTGTAACTCCCAACCGCACTGCACCGGCTCCTGTTACCAGCAGTCGGTGGGATAACGCTCGAGAATATAGGCGAAGGGTGCAACGAGCGCCTCAAATAGACCCTCGCTCTGATGCCTCGATCCCAGATGTAGAACAGCATGCCGAATTCTGGGTACGAAAGCTCGTCCTGGCCATGATAAATCTCGAAGACATCAAGGATCCTGAGAATTCAAGCGCAGCCAGGATGTTTCGACCGGAAGCGTACGACTCTCTACTGCTCGAGGCGACGTGTCGGGAAATCTTCTCAGCTTTAATCGACCGGTGCAAGAGCGGCTTCCGAGGGCCAGCTCAGTTCAACAAAGCCCTGAAACCCCACCGAGGTCTCGAAGCTGATGCTGATGCGACGTGCGCAGAGCGCATGCAGAATGTAGTAAATGCATTGCTTTGGAATAAAAGAGTTGCGAAAGACGTGTTATTTGAAGACTGGAAGATTCGGCTGCTTGTAAACCATCCTTTGGCTTACGATAAGGAGAAGGATTCGCAGAAGGGCTCGAATGATCAGCGGAGAAAGAGACTGGAATCTGAAAGGGAGAAGCTGAGGCAAACTGAACAAGAGTTGCTTGCTTATCGCTCTAGTCAGGAACGATCATAGATGCGGCTGTGGAGGAGCGAAGTGGCGGATAAGGCAGGACTACCGAATCAACTTCATGCGGATCAAGTCAATTGAAGATCTAAGCTTGACCAAAATATTCGTAAACTTCCTAAACAATTAGTATCAGTGAGAACGTCTCACCGGGACCGTTCTGTGAATTATTGAGTCAGCGACGTGACCCGGACTCTCTGCCAGGTGTGCAAGGAATCTGAAGGTGGCCTCTACAGATCCATCGCTCGCAATCAGCACTGATGATCGGTCTGCGATGCGTCGCTTCAGTAGTGCCTGAGTGATGAACGCTGCGCAGCGCTGGAGGTGGGTGCGGAAAGAGAGCACTTGAGGGGCGATAGCCAAAATTGGCCTAGTCCAGGCGGGGCATGCTTGGCGCTTGAACAAGGGTCCCGCGACCAGTCCACACCTTTCTTTCACGATGGTAGTAGTTATGCAGATGATGACCTCCATGCTTCCTTCCTTGCGTCTCAAGGCCCGATGGCGACGCAGCCGTTCGAACGCGTCGGTCATTGACAGGCTACCTTCCGCTCAACCATACCACCGTGACGAAGGCTCCGTTATGCCTAGGAGCAACAGTAAGACATAATGCAAGCTTTCAACACTCCCGAGGTCATTTGGGCAAAATCCATCGGAGCAGATCTTCAGGATAAGGGTTGCCACATTGCTTGATGAGGAAGGTCGCGATGTAGGGTTTGTCAAGATGTTGTCAGATCTTGGACGTCTGACCGTCTGGGTTTACTACTAGGTGGCCAACAACCCCTTCATATCTCATTTTGCTTTTCATTGGGTGCTATCTGCTTGGCCTGGTATCGAAATGCCTGCCAAGATCAGGTCACAAACGTTCAAGAACGGCGCAGCCGTTAGCATTGCTCGGCGCCAACCGCTTATCCGAGATACCCAGAAATCCAAGAACGTAGGATGGAATTCGAGCGAGTACCGAGCGCCTTGCACAGACAGTTATCTCTGGGCGATCAGGGTACCGGGAAGATTGTCTGGTGCCGAGAACGTTGTGAATGGTAATACAGTGCCACGACTTTGCTGAATGAGGCAGCTCGCAATCCGAAGGAAGATGCCAAAGAGATTTATATAACCCGGCGAGTCGGCCGAAGTGTTTGAGATAATCACGTTCTCACCAGCCGCCATGTCTACAGGGGCAAATCTCGAGATCGTTGACGCCGCATTGGCGAATGCACCTCGTCTTCACAACGACACACGGGGCAGTGCGAGCTTAGAGAAGCACGACAAGTTTGTGTCAACTTCCGAGAGTCTTGTTGGCCCCAATGGCGAGCAATACCCTACCGAAGAAGACTGGGGAAAGCTTCGTCGTGTATATGGCAAAGTCAATTGGATGAGTACGTACATCCTTTCTACAGGGTCTTCATGTACCATGCGCTGACGTACCAACCCACTACTAGTCTACATCATCGGTGTTGTAGAAATGTGTGAGCGTTTTGCTTACTACGGAACAACCGCCGTCTTTGTCAACTTCATCCAGAGAGACCTCCCCACGTCAGGACCCTTCCCTGAAGCTGGCGCTGCGGGCGACGGTCAACCAGGAGCCCTTGGAATGGGCCAGCGTGCTAGCACAGGCCTTGTCCAATTCAACTCATTCTTCTCGTACATCATGCCGCTAGTTGGTAAGCGTAATCTTTGTTCCCGAGCAAGAATTGTACTAATATTTTCACTAGGCGGTTGGGTTGCTGACGAATACTGGGGCAAATTCAAGACGATCTACTTCGCCATTGCCGTTGCTACACTTGGTCATATCTTAATCATCATTGCTGCGATCCCTCAGGTTATGGGACCAAACCCCGAAGGAGCTCTTGCCTCGTTCATTCTGGGCCTGATTCTGTTTGGCACCGGCGTGTAAGTATCTCCGCACGGAACGCACTCAATCCATATGTTGACCACTTGCAGGGGCTTTTTCAAATGCTGCATCTCTCCGCTTATCGCGGAGCAGTATGAAGCCAGTCATCCGCGAGCTTTTATTCGTACCGAGCCCAACGGTGAACGGGTGATAGTGGACCCGGGCATTACATACTCCCGAGTATACATGCGTTACTACCTTCTGATCAATGTTGGTGCGCTGGTCGGCCAAGTCTCTATGGGTAAGCAATGTTCGATGAACCATGCGATGCGGTAGCTGACGTTCATTACAGTATATGCCGAGAAATACGTCGGCTTCTGGCTCTCCTTCACGTTACCAACTATTCTCTTTGCGCTTTGCCCGCTTCTGATGGTCACCCTCAGCAAGCACTACGTCAAGAAACCTCCACAGGGTGATGTGCTGGTCAAGTCTATGAGAACATACGGGCTGGTTCTGAAAGGGCGCTTCTCGCTCAATCCCGTGCGTACGTGGAAGAATCTCTCTGATCCGAACATTTGGGACGCTGCAAAACCAAGCAAAGTCGCCAACAAGCCAGTATGGATGACTTTCGATGACGCGTGGGTGGACGAAGTTCGGCGTGGCATCAAGGCCTGTCAAGTATTCTTCTGGTTGCCCATCTTTTGGCTGCCTTACGGCCAAATGTGAGTATCATTTGTATCATGAATGCACGTAAGACAATCGCTGACCGTCTTCAAGGACCAGTAACCTGGTTTCGCAGGCGTCCACCATGAAGCTCAACGGTGTACCAAATGATGTGGTACATAACCTTGTATGTTCTCAACACCAAAACGCACGAGAGACAAATTCTAACGCGGATTTCTCATAGAACCCGTTCACATTGCTGATCTGCATTCCGATATTCGACAAATTCATCTACCCGAGGCTTGCTCGCTGGGGAATCAACTTCACCCCTTTGAAGAAAATCCAGGCTGGTTTCATCTGCGCTATGCTTTCCATGGTGGTTGCAGCAGTCATCCAACACTTCATCTACCAGAAATCGCCTTGCGGAGAGTTTCCCACAGACTGCGATCAACCACCGGATCTCTCAGTGTGGACTCAGGTTCCTGCATACATTCTCATCGCATTCTCGGAGATCTTCGCTAGCATCACAGGACTTGAGTACGCGTTCTCCAAAGCACCGAAGAACATGCGATCTTTGGTGACTGGCATGTTTTGGTTCACGCATGCTTTCTCGTCTGCCATCGCACAAGCCTTCGTGCCATTGGCTGGTGATCCATTGCTCGTGTGGCTGTACATGAGCATTGCCATCCTGACGTTCCTTGGTTGGGTTGGTTTTGCCTGGACTTTCCGCAGCTTGGACCGAGAGAATGACCAACTTGACAAACTCCCAGAAGGTGGCTTCCAGTCCAACGCTGAGTACACCGCGGCGAAGACAGAGAACGTGGAAAGGGCTTAATCTTGAGAGCATCGCTTAACGTTCGATGTTCAAGATCTCTGCTGGACTGTTACATAGCTTGTGGAATGGTAAAAGACGATTTTATACCCTATGTGCAACTCTTTATGGCTCGATGTGAAGCTCAAAGCCAGGCCTGCAGCCTACATTAACACGCAAGCATGCAAAGTAGATGACCTAACGTCAGTGTAGGCTCTAAGCCTGTTCAGCCTTTTTCTGGTACGAAGTGGAAGCAGCGGCCATGATTGAGAATGATGAGGCAACAGCCGATAACATTTGCTCCGCGGAGGCTAGCCAGGCTTCCGACACCGTCACGACCGCTCGCATCTACCAAAGGTGAGCAATCTTTTGCGACAATTTGCAAGACTCTATCGTCAGAAGATCAATAATTCCATCTTAAGATGGAGAAAAGGATACTCACAAGCTGACGAAGTCATTCTCAAGACAACTGTTGATCACCTTCTCGCGCGCACATCATGTAAAGCAGTAGCCGCCTCTATCGGTTGGTTCTTGCAAAGCATAGTTCATGCAAACACCAACATTACAAAGCCCAGCCCCGTTCAAACCGTTGCTTTGAAAAAAAAGACAGCGGCATGAACAATTATTCCCGACAACATACGTCAGATCCGTCACCCTTTTAGGGAAAGTGCCGCCTCGGGGAGCATGGGCGACGCTAAATCCAAGGCTCTAGCCATGAACACAACAAAAAGTCTCCAGCGAAAACCCACTTTCGCATCTCCCGTCACAAGCATTCGAAGAAGCCCCAATTTTAAAGTATAGCGTTTTGCTTGTGTCAGAGACTTCCTGCCCTTTCCGATGATGGCTCGCGGGCGTCACGTCACGGAGATAAAGCCCGTGGCGGTTTTCTCAAGCTCCTAAAAGTCGCGAAACGGTCTTCTGATTAGACCCTATAATCCTTTTTTAGCTACCTTTTTGTTTTATCCTGTTATGGCGTTCTTTTTACAGTACAGAGCTCTGCAGCGACATGTGAAGGAAGAATTACAACGCGTCACTGAAGTCTCAGACCCACTGACTGCTCGTACTGCACGCTCGTCCGACGAGGCACATGGGCTGGGGGATTCAGCCTTACCTAAAGAGCTGGAAAAAGGTGAACCGTTCACTCGGATTCCAGGCATCACGCTGAGAGAAGATGGTAACAATGAGCTGTATTACCAGGTTGATTGGAGCGGGCCCGATGACCAACACAACCCAAAGCAATTCTCGACCATGCACCGTATTGGCGCGACGTTACTCGTATGCCTTGTCGCTTTCGTTGCGACTCTCGCATCTTCCATCGACTCTGCAGTTCTCACCAGAGCGTCCGCTGAGTTTGGGGTTTCGGAGGTAGCGGAGTCGTTGGCTACTGCACTCTTTTTGGTAGGCTTCGGCTTCGGGGCTCTTTTGCTGAGGTAAGTTGGACGAACGAATCGCATGTAGACTATAAACTGACATCGTATCTTCACATTTGTAGCCCGCTCTCGGAGCTCCTCGGACGATACCCGGTTTATCTTGGCTCTCTCTTCGTCTTCGCGTGTTGGACTCTAGGATCCGCTTTAGCCCCGAATTTTGGTGCCCAGATTGCCTTCAGATTCCTAGCTGGATTTTCTGCTAGTACTCCTCTCACGGTCGCGGGCGGCTCTGTGGGAGACCTATGGAGTCCAGTTGAAAAGACATTCGCCTTTCCACTGTTCGCAATACCCGCATTCGGTGGACCAGTCTTAGGTGAGTTTTCGTTTCCAATCTGCTTCTTCGGCCTCACTGACCACCCATCAAAACAGGTCCAGTCATAGGTGCTTACATCGGCTACGGGGAGGACATCAGCTGGAGATGGACCGAGTGGATAACACTGATCTTAATCGGAGTAACTTTCACGCTGATATTGCTGTTCAAAAGAGAATCATTCGCACCGCGTCTTTTACACTACAAGGCACATCATTTCCGAAAGTTCACAGGGAACAACCGTTTCCTCACTGCGACAGAAGCATCGCATGGCTCTATCGGTGAACTCTTATCCAAATCTTTTCTTCGACCGTTCCTTCTCTGCACGCAGCCAATCGTCGTGGCTTTCACTCTTTACTTGATGATCGTCTACATCATATTGTTCACGTTCTTGGATGGGTATGTGACTTTTAGAGATTGTAAAAAGGCAAACGCGAAGAGTACGGCTAACGTTCTTGCAGCTACCCTTACATCTTCGCGGAAACCTTCGACATCAACGAGGGGCTATCCAACATCTGCTTCGTGGGCTTGTTCGTCGGCATAGCTCTTTCCGCGCTTCTTGTTCCAGTTGCATATCGCAGAACCGTGCGACAACTCGAGAAAGATGGAGACGATGGATCCGGTAAAGCTATACACCGCGAGTCAAGATTGTTCTTTGCCATGATTGGAGCACCTACACTGCCTATTGGTCTCTTCTGGATGGGGTGGACTGACTATGTACGTATTCGCCATGCCTATCTACATTCATGAGTCTAACTGGCTTTAGGCTTCGGTGTCGATATGGTCGCCTCTAGCAGCATCATTGCTCGTTGGCTTCAGCAACATTTGCATCTTCATGTCCGCATACATGTACATCATCGACAGCTACGAAGCATACGCAGCATCAGCCTTGACGTTTGTCGCGCTGGTCAGATACATCGCAGCTGGTGGGATGACTGTTGTTGGTATTCCCATGTACAGGAACCTAGGCACTCATTGGACTTTGACCCTGCTTGGTATCATCAGTGTCATAGCACTGCCGATTCCTTACGTGCTTTACCGTTTCGGGCCAAGTCTCCGGAAACGCAGCAAGTGGGCAGTACAATAAGTCTCATATGGTGTGCGAGATGATGGTTATTGTGTCAAATCTGGACATGAGAGTACGCGCAGTCTTGAGCAAGAGCAGGGTTTTGAATAGGCATGTTCTGCTGCTCAGACTCACAGAGGTTTTCGGGTAGACGTGATGGTTTAAACGACAAGAGGTCATGGCTCGATACAAAAAAGCTCGGATGAAGAGGCTTTACTGCTGGCATCGCGTTCCTCTGGCTGGAGGATGATCGACATTAGCCCGAATATACTGTTGTTTCAGACATACAAGTCTTCGTGATCAATGGGTGCACATGCCCTTCCAGGACCTGCGCATCGCACGCTCGGCACTATGACACGCTTCCAGAAGCGATACTAGTCCAATTCCAGAACAGACGCGTCGTGATCTCGCGACGTGACTGATGACGTATCTTCGATACAATACGGAGACAAGCTTATCACCAGCTGCTCGCAAAGCAAAGAAGGTGACAGCGTCGGGTAAAGCGACCACTGATCTTACAACCCGCTCGTGGAGGAAGCTGCAGAATCGTAGTTATTCCACCGGTGCGTCGAGTGAAATCTATTCCGTCGATTTATACCACGCAACATGAGGTGGAGGCTGGCCCACGCCCGTGCCATCGTTGCCGACATACTTGCAGAGAACGCAATAGTAACATGATGTTCTCCCGCAAAAGTCGCGTTGGAAGTCGTAGGCGCGTTGACTCGAGGTACAGGTCGCTTTAGTTGGGTGCTCATATCGCTTCGAACACAATCTCCTGAACCCAGTCCTCACGATCCTCAGAGCCCAACGCGCGTGCAGTATCCTCCCGTGCGCGCAAAGTCTTCTCAAACATATCACCAGATAATTTACCGAGCCAAACTTTCGCTGCCGATCCCTACGACTTGCAGCAGTTATTCCGTTTCCCATATTTCAACGTTTTGATGTTGCAGGGTTCGGTACGAAGCGCTGTACAATACGGCGCAAGCGACGGTTCAAGACGTCTCCACAAAAGTCGGGGACAGGGGGCACACTTGTCAACATCCCTACAAACGAGAACGTGCCGCAATCATACATATGAAAGTTGAAAAAGGGTCAGCGTACCTTCCCCATGCAGGCATTGCAGCGTGGTGTGCACATCGGAGATTTTCTTTTGCCGTTGTTGGTCTTCTGCCGTGGTTGAGCTTGGTGGGGGTCCACATGTAATTTTGTAGGAAGATGGGGGCACCGACCAATCGTAGTGCCTTTGTGTGGCATGGAAGGATTTAGACACGGCTGGTACAGATAGACGATAGGTGTTACAAATTGGTGAGGGTCCGACGATGCGATAACAGGCTTGCGCCTAGACTTGGACACACACTCTGCATTTGCTCGATGCTGCTTTAAGCAGATATCGCATCTATCTGAGAGCGACATTCTGGTATCGTGACTATGCGAGTGTTAGCTGTGACGCAGCAACATCGTGATCGCTCAAGATCGTCTGAAACAAATACACATGTGTTATAACACTGGAGGTGAGAAACGAAAGCAAGAGATGAGCGCAGGTGTCTCCAGTCGGTATGTACGAACAAGGACTAATACCAAGCATTGCTAGTGTGAACCGAACACGGTGCGGTATCTGGTGCGGATACGACATCGTGGTGGTATTGTCCTTATAGCCGGTGTAGTCAAACGGCGCGCGCTCATGTGTCGTGTTATACCCTCTCTCATCGCATCGTCATCTCGTACTGTTCTACTTCTGCTCCTTCAACTTGTCTTCAATCTCCTCCAAATCCTCGGCACTGTCGATCTCGATGATGCGGTTCACCTCACTTGTGTTCCGCATGAGCTCTTTTGCGCCGGCGTACAGCATCTTCACCTCGCTGTTGCATGTGATGGGCAGGTAGTATAGCATGACGTATGGCACGGATAACCGTCCCGAGTCCTATCAAGTCTCAGCTTCCTTGCGATGTGTATGGTGGGTGCGGCGTACGAGGGTCAACGGGTAGCTCAAGAGCACAAATCGCGGTGCGTGATCGGGGAGCTCATCGGCGAGGCTCTGTACGTCGGTGTAGACCTCATCGTCCGACTGGCGTACTTCGAGCGTCTTCTTATCGATTTCGTCTGGCGCGCATGGGCGTCAGCGCCATTGTAGGGGGCAGGGCCGCGGCAGGCTGTGGCAGGAACGACTGCGGCAAAAGCAGACCTAGGTATACGAACAGATAACGGCCTGGGGGTCTTTGGCGCGCGAGGTGCCCAGGCGGAACTTGCGTAGCTTGGACTTGGTCTCCTCAGAGAAGGTGTATAGTCGTGCCTCGGAAGACTGGGCCGAAGTATTAGCGAACGACCGGGCATGACGCGCGTAGCAGCGAAGTGATGGCGGCACTTGCCATGGTTTCGCACGATGCAGCAGACCTAGGTTGGCAACGGGCGTTTGAGGATGATCGGGGGTGGTGTAGGGCTGAGGAAGTCTGCCGGGCGGGATACGTTCGTTAGCGGGGTCTATGGGCGGGGGTTCCTGAGGTCGCGGATGGCGCTAGCCAATGCACTACCGTCAAGTCGATACACCCTCACCTTTCTAGAAGGCTTTTCTTTCTCATGCACCTAGCTACTCATACCCTCTTCCCCCTGAGTTACTTGTCTTGATCCATGTTCGGACGACTGAATCAGGTTGCCAGGCACTTGTCTCGTCCTATCCCCAACTTTGCTCATCGTTCTGCCGCCTCGTTCCGTCCATCGATAACGTCATCAGTCATGGCTTCGACACAACAGAAGAGTTTGATTCACACAGCGGGCTGTTTGATCATTGGCGATGAAGTCCTTGGAGGCAAGGTATGTATGTGGGAATCGATTGAGATTTCTGGCAGCTGACGTGAAACATAGACAGTCGACACGAACTCGGTAGACTATGCCGCATCAACGGCGTGGTACCTCGACTAATGTCACACAGGCCTACTTTGCCAAGTTCTGCTTCTCGCTGGGCATTAACCTGCGCCGCATCGAAGTCATTGCTGACGACGAAGGCGAGATCATCGAAGCCGTCCAACGCATGTCGAAGAATTACGACATGGTTGTGACGAGCGGCGGAATTGGTCCCACGTGAGTGCAGCGTGTTCGCTACACCACGCAGCCGCTGAGCTAATGGGCGTCTAGTCACGACGACATCACGTACCAGTCGATAGCGAAGGCTTTCGGGTTGCCGTTGAAGTTACACGATGCAGCATTCCAGCGCATGAAGCGCCTGTCGAAGCCGCACAAGTCTCAGCCCGACTTTGACTGGAACGTCGAGTCTCCAGCGCTTAAAGCCAAGAAACGCATGGTGGAGCTGCCTATCGATGATTCTAAATCAGATGAAGATCAAGTGGTTTTTGTCAGCGAGTCGCTTTGGGTTCCCGTTAGCGTTGTGAACGGTAACATCCATATTTTGCCCGGGGTGCCTAGATTGTTTGAAGCGATGCTGGACGGGCTGAAGCCCCGCATCCTGCCTAGGCTGACGGATCCGGAGGGCAAAGGCGTGCTGCGGATCCTCATCTCGACTCCGATGGCTGAGAGTGCCGTTGCTGGATATCTGACCGAGCTCGCAGCCAAGGCAGAGCCGAAGGGGGTCAAGGTGGGAAGCTACCCAAGGTGGGGAAAGGACCACAACACGGTAACGCTAGTTGGACGCGATCGCGAGTTCATGGAAAGTTTGGTGCCTGAGGTAGAAGAGGCGGTTCAGGGGAGGCGCGTAGCGGTTGAGGGCGAGGACGACGCTGACACGTCTGACAAGGACTCGTAGAGGGTGAGCCGAGGAAGTAGTGCGGCAGCCACAGTGTATATATTTGAGTGTCTAGACGCAGGGACTTTTGTCAAAATAGAATGCCTGTGAAGATGATGTTGGGACTAGACGACGGCTAGGGTGCTTCTCGAAGATTTGTCGAAGCAGCTGTGCCGCGGCCACGCTGGACCCTGGGAGAGGTTAGATGAGGTGAGGATTCAGACAAAGTCGGTCACCGTGGTGCTCGGGGCGATGGTCGCGGATGGTGGCAGAGAGTACCCGCCGACCCCGCTTGGGAGGGTTCCGTGTGGGCGTAGCCTGAGGGTTCCTGGCATGGGCATCAGTGTGCTTCACGGCTGGCACCCGCATATTCGGGCAGTCACATGCACGGGAGACATGCAAACGCGAAAGCGACGCGGTGTGCGGCTAGACAGCCAACGTCTTTTGCGGCCGCCTCCCCCTTCGCATCATGTCGAACCATCCCTTGCGCACAGTAGTGGTTCGTGGGCAGTGTCCGTGCATGTGGGCGTCGGCGCTGGGATCGCATGGAAGCGTCGGAGGCGCGCCCATGCAGTGCGCTGCAGACATGTGCCGCCGCTTTAGGTGCCTTTGTTTTGGCGCGGCGTGAAGGGCAGCGGAAGGGCAGCGGAAGGGCAGCGGACGTGGGCAGGCGTGCGCGCAGAGGCATGCAGCAGCAAATAGCAGGCGGTGCAGGCGGTGCAGCCAAACGCCTTGCAGCCCATCTCGCGCGTGCAGCTCTGGGCTGGTGTGGTGGAGCGGCGGCGGGCGTCCTTTTTGGTTGGCAGGGCTAGCAGGCTAGCGCTCTGGCCGCGCGCGCGCCCATGTCCTAGTCAGCGAAGTCAGCGTAGCGCAGCCCATGTTCCTTCAAAGCCCCAGACGGAGCTAGAGGGTCGTTTTTGCTACCGAGATCATCCTGCTCGTCTCTCCCGTCTTCCTCTACCGCGACGACTCTCCTGGCCATCTCCCTCGCTGCTGATAATCCGGCCACGACCTCACCACCACCGCCCGTCACAGCCCCGATACGCCTGTCGCATCGCCATCACTCCCGCCGCCCGTCATCGCCGCCCCTACAGCCTCCTTCTCTTCTCTTCTGCTCTTCTCTACTAGACCTATACCCTATACCCTAATTCATCGCCCGCGACCTCTAACCGTCCGGCACCTCCCTCACATTCACAATGGCATCAAAGGTAGGCGCCCAGCACCGCCCGCGCCGCACGCGCCCCTGCTAACCCGCGCCAGTTTCTCCGAGAGTACAAGCTGGTAGTCG